ATCAACTATTTCAGCCTATTGTGGGAATACATTTATCAGAACCAGTAGAGACCAAGTGTTAATTATGAAGGCCAAGCACAAAAGAATAATCTTATGTATAGACCCTGACACATTAGAACTGCAAAGCGCTCTGCAGATCTTATTTTATGAGAATGTACTAAGAGCGCAAATGTATAGGCCCTTAGGAAGCAATTATCCCTAAAAGATTTAGCTATAATTCAATCGGAAATATTATAAGAGATTTTTTAAAATGATTTCAAAAGAAGAGGATTATTTTACTTTAACTATGGAAATAGGGGCCCGCATGCTTGTCTGAATGACCTCTGTGCAGTTGTGGGCATTGCCTGGAGGGAAGATTTGAAACTGGCCTTTTAGCTCAATTAATACAATCTCCTATGACCAACAACAATGTTGTTAAAATTAGGAGTACCAGCTTGGTGTTGCGGGACTGAATGACCCACATCACTATAAGGAACGTTCTATGCAATAACTACATTAAAAATGGAAATTTAAAATCCTATACTGCTAGTATATATGACAGAGATGAGCTAGCAGTCCTATCTTACCAAAACTGTGCAGATGTTATCATAGAATGGTTTAGGTTGGAAAGGACCTTAAAGATCATCGAGTTCCAACCCCCCTGCCATGGGCAGGGACACCTCCCACTAGACCAGGTTGCCCAGGGCCACGTCCAGCCTGGCCTTGAACCCCTCCAGGGATGGGGCCCCAGCAACCTCTCTGGGCAACCTGTTCCAGTGCCTTACAACCCTCAAAGTGAAAACTTCTTCCTAATGTTTAATCTAAACCTGTCCACTTCCAGTTTATATCCATTCCCCCTCATCCTATCACTACATGCCCTAGTAAAAAGTCCTTCCCCAGCAATCCTGTAGGCCCCTTTAGGTACTGGAAGGCCGCAATAAGGTCTCCCCGGAGCCTCCTCTTCTCCAGGCTGACCAGCCCCAACTCTCTCAGCGTCTCCTCCTTATACCACACAGTAAGATGAAATGGCACTGCGTAGGTCCAGACAGCATGCCTTGTGTTATGTTTTATTTGTCACATGATCCTCAAATATGACACGGGGTCTAGAAGTTTGTAGAAACAAAAGTATGCAAGAGTGCTCACATCATCTTCGTGATTTCCAGGTCCTGGATCTGGCCAATTTGCTGCCACCACACCTCTCCCAGTTACAATCTGTCTCTGCCGCTTTGCCTCACTCAGGAGTCTACAGGCTGCTACTGCCTCAAAGAAGGGTGGCAGCAGCTCTGTGAGCTAATACAACTAAAAATAGAGCTAAAAACTTGCAGCTTATCTTACCTATTAGACTATACTGTAAGTGGAACGAAGTAGGTTTCTTGTTGATTGGTCTTACACTTTTCTCCTTCTGAGCAACTCACTATTGTAAGTAAGAAAGAAAAAAATAACCCGTTGGGTTTTGTTAAGTGCAGTTCAGGACCCTACAGAGGCAATGACCTCATCTTTTATCACAAACTTTTATGCCATCCTTAACCTAGCTGATCCGGATTACTGTATTTTTATCCAGTTAAGATTGCAAGTATCCTTGCACCACATGTGATGTTTACACTTCTGTTACTGTAAAGCAGACCAAATTCCTCATCTGCCACCTATCACAAAATACATCTTTTGCCAAACTGAATCAGACAATATTAATTAAGTTTAAGAGGGTAGGGAAAATTAAATATTTTTTTTTTTTTTTAAAAAAAAACTTTCTTAACAGAAGCTGTCCTGGATAGACAGAGAGGAATACCTGGACTCCTTCTGCAGGACAGGTGTTTACATCTGAATTAGTAGTACATAGCGCAGTTCCCAGTAAGCACTTGGAGGTGGTTAAAGTAAATGCAGTTCTGTGCATCACAGTGAAAACAAAACCAGTTGTGCCCGATATTTAACTCTGCACCACAGAGACAAACGGGCAGTCATATTTCTATGAAAAAGTGAGATGACCAGAGGGTGACCTGCAGCGGGGAGGAGACGGGAGGGGATTCTTGGGTCTGTACATTCGTTCAGTGTGTAGCACTTACGGTGGTTACTCAGCGCATACAAGAGGCAGGAGGCAGCAGCTAAGAACCAGAGGGTTTCACAGGGCAGGTGTGTGCCAAGGCCCCACAGTGCGTTACCTGTCAGCAGGCTCCAGCTGGGTATTTTGGCACCAGTCACACCCAACTCTAATGGAGCTGCTGACACGACTTTCATCCCTACCAGCCAGTCCATATTCTCTAGGCTGTAGCTATACTAAAAAGGAGTGATAAGCTTTTCATTTACATGGGTGCTCAGGTCAGGATGAGCGTTCATATGCTATATATGAAAGCTAACTACTATTGCCAATATTTCATATGGGCATTTTAAAGTTTTCAAGGTCAAGAATTCAACTTAACCCATCGGCCTTTTAAAAAGTACTCTGATGGACCTGTCCTCACTGTAGGTAACATTAATATGAACTGAGACAAACTCTACAGAGGTACAATATTACAAAAGTTCAACTTTACCAAAAAATTGAAAAGCATTCCTTTTTTCCTCCCCAGACTCTCATCTCTAAAAGACTACGACCAATTAACCTCTAACTTTGAAAAAATCAAAAAACGCCTGTGACAGCCAGAAATTAAATTCTTTAAAGATTAGGTGCTGGGAGAGCAATATCAGGCTTAGAATGAAATCCTAGTAACACTCTGAACTATTAAGTCACTTCTTGCTCTGAAAATATAATTATTCTGTAAGCATTATGTCAGGCAATATTAAATCTAAAAAGTGCCGCTTCAATAAAAGATTGCTGTTTTCTATCAGAAAGACTCTGTGCATAATATTTTCAATGACACAGAGAAAACAAGCCATCATGCAATTAGTGAAAAACAATACCACGTTCAGCAAGTAGCATGCTCAGCAAGCACTAACTTTCAGTGATACCAGACTCAAAACAATACCATTATTGTGGTCAGAAACATCCCTGAATGCTTACGATGTCTATTTCTAGTCATCTGACGGATGGATTGCTTTCAGTATCGCACACCTGATTTTGTAATATTCACCATAGATTCTGATGGCAATCATAAACCCATGGAACATACACTGTGTGGCATGCAGCCTCTCTCTGTTTATCCGTTATACTTTTTTTTTTTTTACTGAGAAATGTCAAACTACACAAGGATTTACCTTAATTCCTATACTTTGCATCCGTCAAGTTGTTGCATGAATAATGGTGTTTCCCCAATATAAAAAAAAAAATAAGAAAAAGGAGGCAGAGGAAAATCTGCCTATAAATGAGAGACGTTTGGATCCTACTGGCTAAATCAAACACAGTTTTAAGACGACAACACAGTATTAACAGAGTAACTTCTGTATTTATATGGTCTCTCCACTACCCATAAAAGATTTTTAAGAATATAGTGGTTGAATAGGTGCGCACAATGTTTGCACATCTTACCTGGCATAGTCTCTTATTCTGGCTAGCAGTGAGATTGCTGGTTATGTAGCTATCAATTCCACTGACGTTACAATTTCCCTTTCCGCCTGTGACAGCCAGAAATTAAATTCTTTAAAGATTAGGTGCTGGGAGAGCAATATCAGGCTTAGAATGAAATCCTAGTAACACTCTGAACTATTAAGTCACTTCTTGCTCTGAAAATATAATTATTCTGTAAGCATTATGTCAGGCAATATTAAATCTAAAAAGTGCCGCTTCAATAAAAGATTGCTGTTTTCTATCAGAAAGACTCTGTGCATAATATTTTCAATGACACAGAGAAAACAAGCCATCATGCAATTAGTGAAAAACAATACCACGTTCAGCAAGTAGCATGCTCAGCAAGCACTAACTTTCAGTGATACCAGACTCAAAACAATACCATTATTGTGGTCAGAAACATCCCTGAATGCTTACGATGTCTATTTCTAGTCATCTGACGGATGGATTGCTTTCAGTATCGCACACCTGATTTTGTAATATTCACCATAGATTCTGATGGCAATCATAAACCCATGGAACATACACTGTGTGGCATGCAGCCTCTCTCTGTTTATCCGTTATACTTTTTTTTTTTTTACTGAGAAATGTCAAACTACACAAGGATTTACCTTAATTCCTATACTTTGCATCCGTCAAGTTGTTGCATGAATAATGGTGTTTCCCCAATATAAAAAAAAAAATAAGAAAAAGGAGGCAGAGGAAAATCTGCCTATAAATGAGAGACGTTTGGATCCTACTGGCTAAATCAAACACAGTTTTAAGACGACAACACAGTATTAACAGAGTAACTTCTGTATTTATATGGTCTCTCCACTACCCATAAAAGATTTTTAAGAATATAGTGGTTGAATAGGTGCGCACAATGTTTGCACATCTTACCTGGCATAGTCTCTTATTCTGGCTAGCAGTGAGATTGCTGGTTATGTAGCTATCAATTCCACTGACGTTACAATTTCCCTTTCTCAAAGCAGCAATAACCTGTCACTTTATGCTGTCCTTTCTCTGACCCTCTCCCGCCTGTCTGCTCATTTTTATTCTTATTGAAAAGACTTATTATTCCTCCTCCCAATTCCAACTAGCTACCCTTTTGCAAATAGTAGTATCAACTATGTGGTCACTAGTAGTATAGGTCAACAATGTTATTAATATAGCACACACTGCTGGGAGCAGATCAAACAGCCATGCTTTAAAATATTAGTTTTGCAAAGGTACTGTGAGTCAAATAGTTGCAGTTTTCTTCACGTTATAAAACGTAATATCGCAAGGACAGACCCCAAGAATTTAGCATTAATTACCAGACCAATAAGTGGGAGGGTATGTTATTTTTTTCTTGTTGTTTTCATATACAAAATAAAATAAAACCATAACAGAAGGGTGCTGTATCTGTGTTTAAAGAAGGGGTTGTTGGCAAACACCATAGCTCACTTCTGCCGAAATGTACACAACTGATATATGCAGCCCAGAAAGCTGGCACCAGGGGCTTACAACCTTAATTTGCCTGCAAGAAGAAATGGAGATTTACCTTCAGAGCACGTTCTTGATTGTTTTCAGCAGTCAGATGTCTCGTGTTGTTTGCTGAAGTCTGGTTCTGCTCTTTCAGATGATGAAGCTCCTGCTCCAGCCGTTTGCACTGCAACGAGGAAAGAATCCCATTAAGTAGAGGAGTGTGGGCATATTTTTTTCAACAAGCCAAATGAATTAACGTAAATAACGCTATCACTATTTCTGCAGTAGAGGAAGCATCAGACAAAAGCAAGTTACAATCTCAGATCAGTACTAGAGCTACGTTTTCTAAACGTGCATCATTTCAGTTTCTTCCTGGTCCAATTGTATGCCAAAAAAAGCCTAAGTTTAGTATCAGATAGAGACGTTTTCCAGAATGTTTTAAAGTCTTAAAAATTACAAAGGTGTCAGGTTGAAATTCTGCTCCTAGTTATGCCAATATAGTGACAGACTTTGGCTTTTATATATGAAGTAAGTGGATATAAAGGAAGCAGTACGTGCTTTTAGAAAAGCAAGCAAATTAAAGACCCTCCTCCCAAATCTAGGACCCAGCCTTTTATCAGAAAATATACGTGTAATTTTTATACTTGCCTCTTTCACACTAAGAGATTACTCTAAATCCCAAACACACACCACATCTTGAAAGAAAAGAAGCTTTAAGATTTTTTTTGTTTAAATATTTAACTTAATGACAAAGAATGAAAAATTTAACACTTGCTACTGTGTGCATGCACATGTATACTTACTGCTGTCAGCCAAACATCTATTTTAAAGAGTAAAGATTTGCAAATTGTGAGCTAAATTATATATATTTCTTTTTTTCTACAGTAACCGTAAGAGGTCTTGCCCAGTTACCTAGGTCTGAAAGAGTAATTACTTGTCAGCAGACAGTTCATTGTGTTATTAAAAAAAAAAAAAAAAAAACCCAAACTGTTTTACAAAAAAAAGGCAAAGCAAAACAGACCAGGAAGATATAGGGGAACAACTGTTAGAACTAGGGAAAAACACAATATTAACATGAATATTTTAAAACAATATATTACAAGCAAGTAGTCTGGATATCACCACCAAAACCCAAAGACTCTGGTGGAACAAAAGAAAAAGTATCTTAATAGATGCTTTCTGAAAGCACTAGTAAAAAAGGAATGATGATACAATACCCATGTAAGCACTGCTGTCTCAAATGAAAGACCCAGAAACATGAGTCTCGTGCTATCTTAGCAACTGTGGAAGACACAGAACTGAGCTTCCCATCAAGTGTATACAATTCTATATACTATTCCTGAGCAATTCAGTATGTGGGACAATGAAGCATGGCTTATGTCAACTCTAAAAAAAAGAAAAACTGTGGAACAGAGAGCCAGCCGTAGGACTGCAAAAATTATAACCAAGGTCTAAGTAAAATAAAGATTACTGAAGGATCTTGAGACAGAAATTTAAAAAGACAGACTAATACATACACTTAATACAAAATAAGTCTTTAACAATGTACTGCACATCAGGTATCCATCATAGTATACAAAACAGAATGATCCAATCCTATATTTAAATAAGTTCCAAATAGTTGTAGATGTCCAGGAGTAATATTAAAAAAAATTCAATTCACATATCTGTTGTTGTATTTGATTACTGCTGTTAGAAATCTGGGCTCCTTTCTAATAGGATTACTTATGTTAAAGGAAGCAAATCTCTCTGGCCTAGTGCATTTTTTCAGTGTCTGTTGCGAAGTTCTTTAATGCACAGGTTCATTTTTATTGAAAGAAAAAGACACTTTCCCATAAAATAGGGAAATACAGAAAAAATGTTAAGATGCATTTGATTTCAAATATTTTAAGAGACTTAAGACATTTAATGTCTATCTCACACATACAAAAAAAAAAAATATCACAAATCACAGAATCACAGCTGTAATTCTTTTTCCATATCCAGCATGAAAATTATGTGTCCGCAGACATGAAGGCACTAATAAAACTATTGAAGAACTAACTGCAGATTATGCAGGTTTTTTCTCTAGCAGCCTTTTTTCTCTACCACACATGATCTAAACACCATTTAAAAAAAATAAAATCAATCTACTACTACAGGCATTATCATGACACTTTACACATTACATCACGTAGTATCACTTTTCTGCTTTGCCAACACTCTTCTTCAAAACAGCGCTTTGGAATTCCCAGTTTGACAACAGCACAGGTTTCTTACAGTAAAGATTACTAAAAAGACCAAAATCTCAAATTACCTTTAAAATATTAATTTATATTCATGCTATTCTCTTGACTCCAAAAGAGAAGTGAAAATATGCTAAGAGCAAAACCTAGCTAAAGGACCATATAGAAAAAGATCTTGATGTATAGGGCAGGTTGCAGAACTAAGGGCATGGGTGCAATCTTATTCTGCTCTCCACTCCTGTGAAGACAGGACAGCGAAACAAACAGCAGCAGTGGGACTCCAGTATCATGCAGCATATAAAGCATGTACGATAAAGATGCAACACCAGTAACATAAAATGGACTTCCCTATCAGGTCAGCCTTGACATGACTACATTTACATCAATCTTGGTCGCATTTTGTAATTCATCTTTAATTTCATTTCCACTAAAAATGTTGATATCTGAAAAAAACAACCAACCAACCCTGGGTATATTCAATCAGCACGCTGCTTGAATACATTTTGAGGGTATCGCTGAATGAAATGGTGATCTAATTTGACCTTTGCACATAAGTGTCTTAATATGTTAGAAACAATGTTTTAACAGAAGCTGTTCTGAATTATCAATCAAAACGTATTTATTTCTAGCTGTTTAGGAAGTAAAATCTTTAATTATCCTGTTTGTGAGTGTATTATAGTAATATTCTTAAATGGCAACATTGTGTATGTCTTACTAAAATTTTATAGCCTAAAATGCTTTGATACCTAAACGATTTTAAAACATTAAAATAGCATTCTAAAAGCAAGCACTCTTTTTCACAAGACTGTATGAAATTTCTGTATAACCTTGCTGTAGAGAAAAGTTTTAAAAATAGAATTTAAAACAATGCAGCCCTTCTTTTCATTTGAGCCAACATTTTTTGAATTCTGTGTCATTGGTTGTTAGCAAGGTCCAGTAAAAATAGATGTTCTTTAAAAGAACATGTGTTTTTATTGGTTCACGCCAGGGCTCTAAAATGCCAACAGCTGCAAGTAAGAAACTGGATTTCCTTCTAAAAACATATATAAAAATACTTTTTGGAGCACAGTGAAGAGAAGAAATCGTCCAATTCAGTACTGGCAAAAAGGAAATGTTGGATGTATCCTTTAAAGAAATCTGAAAGCTAAAGGAAGTGTTTCATTTTAAACATTATAAATAAGAATGTCTAAATCCTGTTATCCCAAACTTGTGAAAATTCATACTTGGGAAACATTCAAACAGAATCCTCCTAAAGTCAGAGACAAAATATTTTGTGCAACACAGATTGCCTAAACATCTGATCCGAGGTGTAACTGTGCACTTAAAGAAAGTTCCCGTGACTTTAACACCTTATGAAAGACGGGTTGTTAGTTGAGAAAACGGCTTTTTTACCTCAGGTACTTTGAGTATATCAAGGAAGATGAGAGGAGTGTAGATGGATGTCAAAGAGAATATGCCTTAATCGGACTTTGCTAAGTAAAGGATATCAAAGCCTCACAAACAGTAACATGTCATTTTATAAAGGTTTAACACAAACAATCCACCAAGAATTAGCTTCATCCCATGGTCTACTGCGTCCATTCAGAGTTCTGCAGCCAGGGGCAATACTGAACACACACACACAAAAAAAAAAAAAAAGCCCCAACCAGAAAAAGGTTTCCTCTCTTCTTTCAAACCCTCATGTTTTTTGTCCTCTCTAATTATATTTCCCTCAGAAAGTCTCCTACCTTAGCTAGCCTCATTCTGGTGATAACGTACTTGTTAGACAGTGAACCTCTTTAAGTCTATTCCAAGTGTTCCTCGGGCAACCATCAGTGCCCAACAGTACAGTTTTCACTGCAACATCATCCATTCCCAGCAGCAAGCACTCAATCTTGTTTTAACCATACTTCCACAGTGCAACCTGGCTGTGCTTTTCTAAATGCACCCAGTCTTTCCAGACAAATACCCCCCTATTCAGTAAAGGACACATCACAAGCAGCTAAGACACAAAATGAAAAGCAAAGCAGGTAACGTACCAAAAGGATAAGAAGCAGTTCAGGCAGAAAAGAAAGGAGAGACAGCAAGTATGCCTGTTCTCCCCTCCCATCTTCTAATTTAAACCATTAAGCTATCAGTGAGCCTTTTTTAACGAGCTTCAGCTAACATGATTCAGCAGAATGAGAATGTTTGTGAGAGGCACTGGTCCAACCTGCAGCAGGTGCTGACCCTTTTCAGTCACTATGCAGGTGGGAGGGTTAAGAATGCCACAGGGAAAATCCAGACAAAGTGCAAAAAGGAGTGCCTGCTAAAGGGGACCTGGTGGAGAGGTCAAGAAGTGGACCAGGAGAATATCACTGAGTAAAGTCCTTGAGGCTTGACCAGCAAAAGACTGTTGAAAGATGGTCCCAGTTCCAGGTACACAAAAGGAGCAAAGACAGTTTAGAATGAATGGAGTATTTCAGAAGATTGAAAAATCAATGCAGATAACCACTTAATAGTGTTTGGCCTTTACTAGAAAATGAGGTTGCATTAACATATCAAACATAACTTTAGCACTTGTATAAACAAATCATCTTTAACACGTTGTCAGCTTTTCCGCGTTTTCTTCTTCAACTTGTACCTATAACACGTTAACCCAGTGTTAGGGTGCCTGCCATGACTACACAGATTGATTAGTTAGTTTTGATCGTTACTAAACATGATTCTTCAGTGAGGTGTTCTGAAAGCAAAAGGTACAGACATTACACAAGAGTAAAGAAAAATGTGCAAGCCACTGGAGAAATAACATTAGTAGGGGCAAAGATGGAATACAGCAAAGAGTAACAGCAGAGCTACCCCTGCCCCCAACAATTTGGTCCCCCCACAGTTTGTTTATATGAAGACAACTCCTATTCCCCGAGGCCTCATGCAGAAGCTTATTTAACTGCGCTACTCAGGTCAATCAGACTGTTCACGTGCTTTCAAACAGACATAAATG